ATTTTTGATAGGTTTCTATCTGTTCTCAGCGATGTCTGTTAATATTTAAAATAGCAAGCATCGTTTGGTGAATGGGCTATCGGCAAAAGAAGGAATAACCCTGACAAATATTCAGGAACGCATGCTTGCAGTCTATAGAGATACAGGACAAGAAAAGAATAAGCATAGGGGTAACCAGGACATTACCATATGGGAATACAGGCCGTATGATGATTCAGTGAATCATCCTACAGAGGCATCGTGCTATCTTTCCAAAGCATTTTCATGCAGTTATCATTTATTTGGGTATGGACACTATGACAAGGACTGTTTTGTAAAGATTATTTCTCGCAAATATCTTGGTGTTGTTCCGCAAGGTTTATGAAACTTTTGTTGATTTGGGGATGAAATTTTGGACCATTTATGATATATCTTTGAAATTGGGAGTTATTTGTGTTAGTGAGCATGAGAAGAGTGCTCTGGTGTGCCTCTTTCGCCGCTCTGCTATAGTAATAGGTGGGAAGCAGGCATGTCCTAGTACGAATTGATTTAAATGGGGGTTATAGAGATATTTTTCCCGTTTATTACATTAAATAGTTCTTCTGGAACAGAGTTCCATTTGTTCAGAAAAATTTGATTTATTTGGGCTTCTTTTTATCTATAGCACTGCCCATTTTACTTCATTATTTCGAAATAGAGTAAAGTAGCTACGTCATTAGCAAGGGCGTCTTCGTTTGCGACATTCCCTGCAGGTGCTTTTACCCAACCAAGAAAAATTATAATTTGGCTTTTCGCTTTTAGGAGATGAAGTGTTTCTTATGCTATTGAAAAAGGGTGGAATTGACTATTGCATGTAATTAAAAAATCCTTTTCAATTTTAATTGCCTTTTTAATAGCTAAAGTTTCGTTTGAAAAACTGTATTTTCGGAACATAGGCGTCCTTTCTGGTGCACTTTTAGATTTTAGGCATTATGGAAAATACAGGTTGATCCGAAATTTTCATCCATTTTTGAGCAACCTGTGAATACTATTGGGTACATCATGACAGTTGTAGACTCTTTAGAGCCTGTTTTGATATTAGGTGAATTAGCAGGGTGTAGAGGATATGGAGAGCGTGAGAAATCATTCAGATTGTATATTAGTAGACATAAAATATCGTCTATCTTGTTTAAATAGTGTGGAGAACTTCTCGAAGGTGATCTCAGACCAAACTGCACTGTGGATTTGACCAGTGAAAAAATGTGCGCTACAGTAGAGGAAAATATCATGAAAAACATAGTAGCTGCAATTTATTAGACTGCTACAGAATCGGACATCGTTGTTGTTCTAGTGAAAAAAAACCTGCATTAAAAGCTGAGGATGTCGAAGGTCTGCGCCATATAAGTATCCAGTCTGCTGACGTCAGAAATGAAGAAACAACGTGAGGAATGATCTTGAAAACTGTTCTCCGGGACAAACACGGATAAAAAATTTTATTTGTATCAGCATGACGAAAGTGTGACGAAATAGTCTAGTGATGAAACCTCCCTTCATCCACTATGACTCAGAATTGAAGCAACAGGACACAGTGTAGAAATACATCAGATCACATGATTTCCTTATTTCGAAAGAGAAATACTCCAGGAAAATATTAGACACACTTGTTTGATGAAGAAGGGTCAATGCTCATTAATTATATAATCCATAATGGAAAAACACATTGTCAAACTCTGCAGAAAAGTCATCTACACGCGAGTACTGCGCACATTAGGCTCAGATTTTCCATACTGTTTTTCGGCAATGGGAGTTTCTCTTCTTTCCACTCTATTCACCGATCTAGCGCCAGGCGATTTCTAGTTTCTCCATGCGCTGCGGGAATACGAGCCAGGTTTCTTTTTAAATGTCTTCCCCGAAAATGTCTTTTCCCCAGCCAGAAATCCCTGGGTATTTTCCTGCAAATCAAACAGATAACTGAAGGTACTTCTATTTCTTTCAAAAACTGAAGCAGTATTTACATGATTCACGCTTTAAATGACAATGGTGTTTTGTAGGATGTCATTCGGAGAAAGTTGCTAACGTGGTTTGAAGGATGAGATAATGCTTTCCCCACTGGAATGCATCTCTTAAGCTTTTGATCGTCATTAACGAACTCAGCTCGCATTCCAACACCGCAGTGGACACAGACGAACGTAGTCGCGTTACAAATTTACGACTGACAGATATCGCGCATATTTGGGAAGAAAGAATCGCTTAATCGCGCGTCAGCCGAAGGATTAGTGGATCGCTTTGCTAAATGCATTGAAATAAAGGGGAACAATGTGGAAAGTTGGCAAAGGGATTTCAGACATTTATTTAACTCAAATCTGTTGGGCTTAAAATTTATTGAACGATCGTCTCCCCGTGTAAGTTTCTCACTAGTGTATTTCTCAGTTACTGTGAAAGTGACAAATCTTAAGAACTAGTTAGCGAGTAATCGCTTAAGTTCGTGGAACAAGAAACAACAATATGGAAGGGTAACTAACCTTTTATTATTCCAATAAGATTTAATAAAATTCCGTCTTGGAATGTACAATAAAAGCCGACACTTGGGCTTGAACTTAAGAGACTAAGAATTAAACTAAAACTAAGATTAACTAAAGAAATATAGCTATCAAGATTCTGATTGAGTTGGCCCCTGAACTTTATTTGACTACGAAGTTTATCAAGGGCCTGAGTACGGCCAAGCGTAATAACAGCTTTGAGAGAGAGAGAGTAGCTAAAAGGCAGATGCGAGCAAATCAGATACTCTGATTCTCTCTAACTCTGTAAGTAGACTTCGCGGTTTAAATACCGCTCCTCCTCATTAAGTATTCAGAATGATTCCAAAACTACGTTCTGGCCGGAAGTAGTAAGTTGAAGTTAAGAATTTGACAGGAAAGGAACTTTAACTTAAAATTTACTGTTAATAAAATTAACATAATCCTTACACCCGTAACCAGAGATTAAAATATTTAATAGTTCTGAATTACAGTTAAAACTCATGGAATTTTAGTAAACTGTATTACCCAGTTCTAATTACTTTTGTACCTTACTGAAACATAATATGCGTACTTCTTATATTTGTTTAGGACTGTACAAGAATTAAACAAATTTACAGCTATTTTATGACATAATCGCTGAAATCATTTCAACCCCTTAAAATGAAGGTTAATTTATTTACCTTTAATTTTTCTTCAGAAAAGACTTGAGAACTGCTAACTGTTATAATGCATTATGAGAAACGACTACTACATCGTTGAGCCAGGATACAAATCTCGTAAAAAGCATGGAAATTTACAGTTGTTCATCTTCTGCTTTGGTGTAATACAGGTCGTTTCGCGTGGTGCAACGTGGCTAATATTTCAGGTATCTTAGTGAAGAGATGGGTTTGGCTGTTGCCGACGAAAGCTTCAAAAGCAAATATTCAACTCCTAGGCAAAACAAATGGGGTTAACATAATTTTGCCTGTCCGTAATGCAGCACCAAATAGAACAAGAAATATCAAAGTCACATTTACTGGACAGTAAGATAAATTTCAGAGGTGAACTGATTAAAATTAAATTTGATTTTCGAAACAGGAAAATTAAGTTTTTTTGCATAGCCACCATGACTAGCATTAACTGCTGCCTCAAGTCTCGCCTTTGAAAGAAGTGCTTAGGGTACATCAGTCCATGACGTTTCCACAGGTTGCCAAGTTCTTCTTGTATTGCCAGAGTGTAGCACTGTAAAGTATTTTCTCCTTCATTACCTCATGCTTCCATGGTATAAATTGGAAGGCCACCCGACTGGCAATTGGAAGATCCAGATTTTGAATTCCAGGGAGAACATCGTTGATTTAACACATTCATGACTTCTAAATGACTATATAAAAATTCTAAATGATTCTACAGTATTCTGCTCCATTTGCCTATCATCATCCAGACGTGTTCGATATTCGATATATCAAGAGAACCAGGCAGCATGCTATCTTGTTGGCAATAAAATACGGTGAACGTTTCCGTGCTACACGAATTCGCTCATTTTCCTGTTGAAATTTGGCCTTGAAGGTAAGGGAAAGATGACAGGCTCCAAAACTTCAGAGATCTAGTGGTGGCTGTCGAATGTGTCGGCAATGCGTATTAGGTATGTACGGATGTAAACTCTAAATAACCCAAAACCGTACTCCAGACGGTTATGCATTTCAAATCTTGCATTTTGCACAATGCAAGATTTGTGACACCTATCACTGAGGTGCCTCCAGACACCGACGTGATCATTGTGGTGTTGTAGGCAGACTTGAGATTCGTCTGAAAAGGCAATGGTAGGTCATCCGTTTGTTCATGTCTTGCTTTCACAGCCTCATTTCAGCCGCGTACACCTGTGTAGTTTAAACGCAGTTGTAATCGCAACAGTAAACGCCTCACAGATTCCATTTTCCTCGTTTTCTGGTGTCAGAGTTTAATTCAATCATTCTCGTTGACTGTACTCATCGATTCCATATTTGCATCAATATAAGTTGATATCCTCCAGCTCCAGAACTAGTTCTCAGATAAACCACAGTCTTTACAACCAACAGTTCTTCTTCTGTCAATCATAGACATTTACTGGAATTATTGGCTGCGGTTTTTTTTTCGAAGTAACATATTAAAGCTTACGAAGCAGGAAAACAGACGGAAAACGCATAATTCCAGTACTTAAAGCAATCTACTGTTCTTAAATTTTATAGTATTTTTATGTGGCTTTACTGGAGCACACTATCTGCATATATGCTGCTATGCTAATCATTTGCAAGTTCTGTAAAAAGTCAAAGAATGATGCAAATTTCAAGATATACTTCATGGTGCTACATTTTCAGTGGCGAACAGTGTAATAATAATCTTGCATTATTATTATCAATAAAAATATTATTATCTGTAAACTTCTATTATTATTTATAACCGTGAACTTTTATTATGCAATGCTTTTAAAAGCAAATGCACGTAAGAGTTCCCTTTAAAATTAGGAAACATACAAGTAAGATTTTTTTAATTAAAAAATCCACACGATCAAGGATGAGAATAATTTTATTATGAAAATTGTTTCTTACAAATGGCTAAATATATTCAACTTTGAACAAATGGTATTCAAATATTCATTTTAGATGATTTTAGAAAAACGTAAATATTTTGTATTACATTCATAGTATTTATAAATTTTCTGTACCGTTACTTTCGGCAAATCTTAAATAAATCTTAGCGAATTTTCTTTTCTGCGAGGTTATGTGTTATTTTAACGTTGCTTTACATTTGTTGCGCAGCAAAATATTTTACTTTGTATCACAAAGATTCTGTTTGAAATCTTTACTATGGGTTTAGGGAATGTTTCTAGAAAGGCTTCATCATATGTTACGCATATTGCATACACAACAAAACATTTACAACAAATACTTTTGGTTTATTTTTCATTTTACAGAAACTGTCATCGTAATGAACGAAATGAGTAGTATACACCCAGAAGGATACTATTGTTAAGATTTATAGGGGAAACAATGCAGTGGATTAAAAAAATATCGAGATACGTGTGACATCGGTGGGAGATGAAATGCCTTGAGCTTTTTTACGCATGAAGCTGTCCTTTATTAAATACACGAACAACACTAAAAGGATGAATATTAAATGCAAAGGCAGCAGAAAAACTCTAAAACCCTCCACTGTATAAAACTTATAAAGTGAGAAGGCCTGCAAAGACTGAAAAAATGTGAAAATAGTAAAACCCTCTTGAAGACTAAATCCTTGGAGAAATGAAACAGGTGGAAGGAAAATCGAAATCAAACAGAGAAACACACTTAAGTCGCGCACTTAAGTGACAGAAATACTAAAACAACGTAAAAGCCGAAAAACCAAAAATTAAGATAAACTCCACTTGGACAGAAATCCTTGAAGAATGTAACGTAAATAACCTGCTAATTCAAGAAGTGAGCACTTACATTGTAACGTTTATGTTAATTAATTCACCATCTTATTAATTTAGCTGTACAATCACTTTTGCGTTTAGTCATTCTTTACCAGGATGCAAATTAAGAAGGTATATATATATATAACAGCAGAGCTCTGAAATGTTAGAGACAGAGCTTTGGTAGCGACGCTGACTGTTATACTGTTGCCCAGTTCTGAGAATCACTTTAGATCGGCGTCAGCATTCTGCTAGCTGCGTTTCTTACAAAAATGATAAGTCACCTGACAGTCTCAATAGTATGCAAGTTAGTTAAGTAAAAATGAACATCAAGAAGTAGCATATAATCATCAATAACATCAAGAAGTAGCATGTAAATATTTTCAGTTAATTTTAGAACACTTCCAGACCTGAAAATAGTGAATACGTTTCGATAATATTTTATACAGTGCAAAAAAACTCTGATTAAGCTCTTATCTGGCGATGTCACAGTTTAGAGAGCAAAGAAGTTGTTCAGAGAAAAGCAGTTGAACGGTTTGGTTCTCTTCTTACCTGTTTTCAAGAAACTTTCTATTTGAACATTATATTGGTTGCTGGAATTTAAATATCAATGCGTAGTACTACCGGTTTCATCACTTGTAGCCTTAGGTTTAATGGTACCAATGAAACTGTAAATAACGTGGGAAAAAAGAGATTGTGGAAGTGTATGTCGCAAACACCAATAAATAGTACTACCAATCTCCTTAACTGCAACCTTAAGTTTAATGGTACCGAAGATATTTCAAATCGTGTACAAAACTAAATGGTTCTGAAAATGTATGACTAATCGCCCTGAATTTCACTGGCTGCAGAACTGCAAAAAATGAATCGATTAAAATATTCATTGAACGGTTCGAAAAACCAGATATTCATTGCGCAAGATTTAGAAAGGAGCACTGAGAAACTTTAGTTCTTTGTTCCTAAACATTCTTAAGCTTTAGTCATTCTCTGGACTAGAAGTTTACTGATTCATCTTTCATCACAAAGAAGTTTTCGTCGTTACATTCTACAAAGGTATGCTTTGAAGTAAATGTTTTTGTTTATGTCTGGCTTTTCCAGTATTAACATCCTTGAATTTACACTTAAAAAAGGATTTTTGCTTTGTTATATTTTTTTATTTTGCTTCTGGAGATTCATATCTTCCAGAATTGCGTTTCAAATAGGTTCTACTTCTCATTCGTGAGTTTTTAGCTTTCTATTTTGCTTCGGCACTTCCAGGTAGTCCCGTTCCATTGATTTGATCCTTTTTAAGGGCTTCGTTCTGTTCGTTAATGTAAACATCTATCCTTTCAGTATTATATTCGTTCTTGATAAAAGACGCTTCTCCTAAAAGTAATTGGAATATCGCTGAATACTGATAGTTTGAACTAGATTCATTTCTCGGTGAATGAGTCGTCTGTTTCAAGGTTACTATGCAACAAGATTGCTTATGTGTGCCGGTACAGACATCTAATTTGCTCAAAAGCAACTACTCCCTTAGTGGATTTTTTTCGATTTCTGTAAACAAGTAACGTCAACTCTGCGAAGAGCCTAACCTTGTAGTAGACAACTACTAAGAACTACTACTACTACACTTTAGAAAGTTCTCCAGGCATTTCTCCGTTTGATAGATAGGCCTCACGTGCTTTGTTATAGTAGATTAAATAACAAGTTGGAAAGGACAAATCCATACGCTCAAAATTTCGTGACCTATTCGCTCATATATGTATCACACATAACTTGATATTTATTACAAAATATGGCATGGATATTCTTTGACTTATTCATAATGTTAATTACCTTACTTCATTGTAAGAATGAATGATCGAGAATTTTTAAAATACGAGGCAAATTGGATTACATATTCGTATACATTTTATCTTAAGAGATACGACATTCATAATTTAAATTTGAGAAATGTCCTACCAAAAATATTTCTGAAATTCTTATTTGAATGACAAATCAAAGAACTATCCGACGAATTCTATGGTTCAAATACCATAATAATGTCAGTCAGATTAATTCAGATGCATATATAACTATATTTGTAAGCTCTAAACAAAATTTTGTCATGCAAGGGAATTAGAGGAAAATACATTTTTTGTATTATTAATAGCATAAATGATTTTGTAATTTAGGTAATGAAAATGAAGCATTAATAACCAGGGAAATTGTTGCGTAGTTGACTACTGTTACATTTGCCCAGGGTAATTTCATATCAACAGGGTTTTCCCCCTCTTTCATCACACCAAAAACATAATTGCAAATTAAATCTTGTAGAAGTTTCAAGAGTTCATTCTTACTACACAACGTTTCTTCTTCAATATAACATTCATGCAGATCTTTCCAATAATATCAGATAAGGCTCGGAGAAAGTATTTGTTTTCTAAAAATAAAACAGAATATTTTCTCTCTAGTCTGAATCATTGTGGCACAAATAATACGTGTCATCCCTTACACTGTCATGTATGTGGAATGAAAGATTTTGTGATATTAGCATAAATCAACTTTTCTTAAGTTTTAATACTAAAATTAAAATTGAGATGCCTTTTGGATGCTATTAACAGCACTATTTATTTCAAAAGAAGCTATTAGAATAATTTATATCGATCTGAGTTTCTAATGCTTTAGATGCTAAATTAATACCTATGTTTTAAATTACGAAAGCATTTTTGGTTCATATTCGTATAATATTTAAATTAATATTATAGTAAAAGCTAAAGTACTCTTTACATGGCAAAAGTAAGACTATTCTGATGTTAATAAAGGACAGAATTTCATGTCTCTGCTATTAGCAGAGATATTTTACTTAATTGCAGATATTTTACTTAATTGCTCTCGCAATAATCCAAATTTTACTTTAGACGCAGTTCTATGCATTAAACCTTCAAACTTAAAATTAAATTTAGAATTGTAACTAATATGTAATTAAAATATAATACACTTTGTAGAATATTTTTTTCTTTAACTTTTGAAATACAAACTACGTAAAATATTTGCTCATAAAACATTATCTCTTTTTTTCCCTGTAGATTAAACTATGAAAACTGTACATGTCACAACTTGTATCATTTAAATAATAATTACTATAAAAATATATTCAACGTTACTCTTCCAATTCTAAGCTAACTTTTCCCGTGAATTAGTAAATGGAACTTTCCCTAAATTTCAATACTTCGTGATAACTTAAAAAGTTAAAATTAATTTCCGTTCTAAGTTTGACCCAAGTTTTTCAATAAATAAACATTACTGCTTCTTGAGCTTTGTAAAAAAAGGGTCATGCTTGCACCATTTTGTATACTATAATTAAGTGAAGCTATTTGCTAGCAAAAATACATTACGGTCTCTTTCTTGCAAGTAGAAATGCGTGAAGTTCCGCTAAATTGTTCATACATATTCAAAATTTCATTTAAATAATAGCTACCACAAGCAAAAAAACTTTGAATCTTTTTTTCCTTCATGTTCAGGAATTAATACTCCTGTGCATTCAACATTTAATTTATATTTAAAACAATGTGAAAACATTGTCTTCGAGTCTTCTATATTTCACTGATAAAATTCTTCTTTCATCTAACATTGAAAACAAATAAGTTTGTTCAAATACTAGAAACATAAAGTTAAGTAGAACATAAGCATGTTCTTAATGTTATTAACATGCTACCATGTAGCATCTCTTGCAAACACAAATTCACTCTTTTGCATCACGGCGATCTGGACGAACCGTAAGTTCTGAATGTTTTGATAAAGCGTTTATTAATTGCGCAGGAAAGTTATCAAAACCTTGGAAACCCTGAATTGGTCCATCTATAATTATCTCTGTTGTTCCATAGTTTCCAAATTCGTTTCCTCCATAAGGAATTCTACTATCTTGGTAGCCTCCATGAAGTCCATGGTGGCGCTCGTTAGGAAACACACCTCCTCTAATAACTTCGAAATTTCCACTACCTAAAATACCATAAGAATATCTTCGAGCTTCTGATGGATGATAGAAACGTTCCATTGTGCCTCTATAATGCCTACCTTCAGTAACAGGTAGAGAATATGAGGAAATGGTATGAATTGGAGGCCGGGATGAGTAACTTGGTGGAAGCATGGGAGCTTGGCCGTAAAACGGGAAGCTCAACTGAATCGTACCACCATTAAAACTACCCGTAATGGGAATGAAACCGGAGCTGGAATCTTGTTGATCCTGCGGCTGAGAGTAACTATAGTGATCGCGAATCGGTTCAGAAGCAGAATGAGATATTTCTCTTTCAACTGTAGCATCTGAGTTGGAAGCAGAACGCTTGCGTCTCTGAACTTTGTGATACTGCAGATTTGTATTTTGTGTGTACCCAGGGTTGACCGCAAACGATTGTTGGGGAAGAGCTGAATGCATGGTCAGAGGATTGGTTGAAACGAAATTTGTTGGTTGTACTCTGTGATTTTGCATAAATGATTCAGGTTGTGCCACTGGTGAAGCCATTTGGTTCATATTTTGTTGAGTATGGATAAAAGTTGGATAACTGAAGGAGAACGGGTCGGTTTGTGTAAGTTGCGTATTTGCAGTTGCATAATTTAGTTGACCATTTCCAAATACTCCATGCTGGTATGCCGTCATGAAATCGATAGCAGGTGGTGGAATTGTTTCTGTTCCTTGACTGCCTTGTTCCATGACTTTTTCCTGATTTTCAGTCATGATAGGTGATTCCTTTTGATATGTTATGTCATCATCAAATTTCACCTGGCTTAACATTCGTTCTCTGCTTATATTAAAAGCTGCACGAAAATCATCCAGAGCATGATTATTATCCTTTAATACTTTTTGCGATCTTACGGTTGGATTTCTGGGTTTTAGAGGTTTATCTTCTTCAGAATCCTCTTCGTATCTCAGAAAACCAGCTCCATCGAAAGACATTTCAACTGGTATATCGTTCATTATGGAAACCGAAGGTTTGTGGTAAGAAGCATGCAGACGACTTTCGAGTTGAAGCGGAAGTCTACTTTTTTGCAGAAGAGGTTTCAAACTTTTTATTGCCTTCTGTGACTGTTGTGTGTTTCCAGAAAGCGTAGAACTTCGCTTGCTGCGATTACTTTGCTCTCGAGCGATGGGATTCTTGTTACTCTTTGTTGACGTCTGGTTTGAAAGTTCAGATGGTGATCGTTGGGGCGATTCAGTACTATAAAAACTGCTCAAGTCTCCTGGATACACCAACTGCAAAGGCAGAGGCTTTTTAGTAACAGGTCGTACAGAATGATCATCTGTTATTTCGTCTATTTCTTGATTTTCATCTGCCTGATAAGTCACCTGCCTTTTCCCTGTTAAGATAAAAAAAAGAGTTAAGGAAATGGAAGAAATACAATTTTCTTGATAATCATTTTCAATTTAAAGACATTGTTTCACAATGAATTGGGCATTTAAATACACTATTCTAAAATTTATTTTCTATTTAATATGAAAGTGAAATATACTTCAGCTCATTTAGCTAAAAGCCGACGCAGAAATTCAGGATAATTGTCTAAATTAACTAGCAGAAATTGCTTTCCTTGAATTAGAAATAATTACGCATCTCTTCTTTAAATTTTTACTTTCTTATGAAACGTATCTCAATAATGGCAAGTATTTTATACTCATTCTCCTTGAGCAAACTTGTACAGTTTCGTAATTTTTAATGCAATTTAGCTTCCTAGCTGTTTAATACTCATCACGGTTCTCCATAATATGTGTTTTTTTTTTAATCTCTGTTAAAAATAAGCATAGTGTTTTTACAAATAATTATTTTGCGTCATTACTTTGAAAATAAAATAAAAAAACGAAAGAAGAAATCGAATTTTCTCTTTATTTGCTTTTAAATGTTTCCCATTCCAACAAAAGATAGAAATCTGTATTATTTATACACTAAATTAATAGCCTTCCTTATTTTGAAACTTCTTTCGGTTCATTTAACCTTCTGATGTTTTCTCAAAAAATATTTAAAATCAAAAGCAAAATTTCTTTCATGTGATTAAAGAAGGAAATGAAATAAGGAAGTGAAATAATCTTCAATGAAATTTCTTTCGTTGCTTCCTTTCTCTTTTCTTCATTTTGCAAAAAAGGAAAATATAATATATAAGAGAGTTTTGAAAGTAAGGGTCAGCTTCCTTAAAAATGGTGCGAGAAATGTTGTCGCCGCCGACCCACTTTCCAGGCTGCTTAGCCCGGCCCGTTCTGGTTGAGCAATGTGGCTCACTGTCTTTCCTTCGAACTTTATTTTAAAAGAGATATGCTTGAATTGTATTTTATCGATATCGTAATAGGAAGACATTATTCAAATAGATATTTTGAAAATACGCATAAGTTAAATAAATTGTCCACGTAAGCTCCGCTACCGGTAAAAAAGACTTTTGTGAGAGGTTAAAAGTTTTGGACTTTTGAGTGATTGTCTCTATTCATGGGCCATAAACGTAAAAGGTGAGAAATATTTTACGGTGAAGTCACATCAACATATCTGTTCAGCGCACATTTTTACTTGACCCTTAAGGGACAAATTAGTACACTTTTATTTGCTCTTTTATTTGTTTATTTGCTTTTTCTAGTAAAAACACCGACATTTTCAAAAAAGGGGGGGGGAGAAAGGAAAAGAAATTCCTATTTGGGAAATACTTAAAAAAGAATGTTCTGCGTTTACATCTGGTGACATTTTCTGAATGAAAATACAAAAGCTGAAACCATGAAAGCTGAAACCATGAAACAACAATAATTTTATCCTGGTTCAAATCCCGATGGCTGAACTGGCTGTATGTGCAGTTTGATAGGTTTTTATCATGCGTAACGCAAGCACATCTCACTTTCTCTTAGGAAAAAAGAGAATTTTATAGTGAAAACCACTTAGACTAATTTGTTAAGATTGATTAGCTAATCAAACGATAGTGTGACAGACATGAAATTTTATCGAGGTATTTTATATATGATCTGCACATCATAAATTTCTAACCCACTGAGTAATCCTTATTTTACCTTATATTCTAATTTCAGAGGATCAGGAAATAATAATTCGAAAAGTCTAAATTCTTTTTAAAAACTTTCATTAAATTTCCATTGTTTATTTATTTAATAAATGTGAATTTTAAACAAAATTATCAGAAAATTAACTGCGAATATTCCATGAAATGATTAGCTATCGAGGATTTAATTTCGAATCTAAGCGTTGTGCTGTAATTTCGATTTCTAAAGACGTAAGTCAACGAAAAAATTTTAAAATATTACAATACTTTGATAAAATATTTTCTGCGTCTTAAACAGCAGCCGCATTATTTATTGTTCTGCGACAGAAATAAGTAGTAAAGTATCAAAAAACATTAGAATCGTGCATAAAGTTGCACTGCCTTTATAAATGTAATGATTCATTATTGAAAATCTACTATTTTTTATTAAGCTTACCTACTGTATTCGGTGCATAAATAGCTAGTCGTAAAAAATAGCATGTACCTGTAATTACGACCTGGAGTTGAGAAACAGAGGGTTTGCAATTCCAAGCTTTATTTAAATCCATTATTTTGTTTCCTTTTTCAAATCGGAATCAAATTATTCTGATATCTCAGTATAGTTTTATATGGAATGTTCAACTCGTTTTTAAGAATCTGTGACATTATAATGTGCTCTAGCTTTAGAGAGAAAAAGACTCTAAACAATAAATATTAGAGGTTTCTTGAAATTTATTCTCATGATAATGGTTTTATTCTAAACGTATTATTAAAGAGCACTCAGATTCAATGAAAGATAGGTATTAAAATACAATAACACGCCGAACAAATATTAATTTAGAAGTCAAACAACAAAAATCAGCGTTATGTTTTCAAATTTTCACAGGACTAGTTCCGATGGTTTTACCGAACTATCATCCCAGGCTCGGTAAAATGATGATGGTTCGGTAGAACCATCGAAACTAGTCCTGAGAAAATTTGAAAATATAACACTAATTTCTGTTGTTTGATTTTCTAAATTAAAGATAGGTATGTTAAGTCTTTTCTCTTAAAACTCTTTTTAATACGGTCTCTTCTCCCAACAACGTACACACACAGAAAAAAAAAATAACGCTTAATAATTAAGTAACATCCGCCATTCGCAGGGCTTTCTCTGTCTCGGGATCTCGGACTTGCGCGATGAACTATTGAAGGAACAGGATTTATAATAAGCAGTTCGAAAAAGCGAGATGCGACAGCCTTTCAACATTCGTGGCGAGCTCCTGGAATATTTCTGTGGGCTTCTGTTGGCAAGATTTCAATTGAAACCTGCTACTAGGATGACAATTTTCGATATTTCGACGAGTGTCGAGTCTACTAGTACTCTTTTAGGGCTGTAGCAGTTTTTGTGATATCCCATTATGCTGCAAATTTCTGTTTTCAGCTAGGGATCCAGGAAATAAAAATTATGTTCTTGTTGGTACTGTAGTATTCTCTTGAGCTATAATTTGGTGGATGGATCTAACTCCTTCATTTTTAAGTCCATACAGAGTTATGTCCTCAGAGGTAGAATGCAGCTTCGTTTTTTTAAAGGCCAAAGAAAAATTGTATTTCCTTAAACAGTGTTACCCGAGTATATCTGCCACATATGCCGTGTGATGGTAGGCGGCACTTCCAAACATAAAGTTAATGTTTAACACTCCATCAGTTTCGATCTCATCATCGGACACAATCTGGGGGTAACGCAGGGCAGCGTCCAGATTAGTTTACCTTTCAACCGTTGAGCGAAATCTTTTCGGATGATGGTAACATTAGCTCCTGTATCTATAGTCATACTGCAAGGAACTCCAGTCATATGCCCCATGATTAAGAATCCATTAATTCCGACACTCATTTCAGAGATCTCAGGCCTCCTTGCTGGAGACCGATATTAACGTCCATGCCTTGGGTTGTTCTATAGTTTCTTCGTACGTAGCCTTCACCACCGCGGTTCCTGCACTTTATGGTCATGAAATCATTGACTTGCCTCGTCAAATCGTCTAAATGAGAGTCTATATCTGATCTGGTTCCTGGACATGAGCAAATCTGATTGGCTTGTGGTGTCTACGGGTTGCTTGACGGGCTGCTTCGAATTTCATGGCGCACATTAAAGTGCTTTTTAAATCCTTGGCATCCGCCATTCGCAGGCTTTCTGTATCTCAGAATCCCGGATTTCATCGATGAACTATCGCAGGGACAGGATTTCCCTCGTTTCTAATGAGCATTCTAATGCCACTATAAAGAACTGAGTCTTATACACTTGCTAAGTTGTCTTTCCGTCATACGTGGATAGCTTTATAGAGGGTCGAAAAGACACTGGTACAAATTTAAAGCTGTCAGAATTGCTTCCTGCTATCAGTATAGATTTATTTACGCTGTCAACTTACTTGACGACAGCAAAAGAAACTCTGTCTTCGATTTGTTTTTCTACAGTGGAAACTCGTTTTTCCATTTGTTTCAGAAGAAACTCTTCTTCAGTTTCTTCAAACTTTACTTTCAACCGTTTCTATTCTGCCTTCTATAGCCTCGAAATTGTTTTCTATTATGCAGTAATTTCTCTTTTCATTTCCTCTTGACCTGCTTTCATCTCTTCTTGGCCCGCTTTTATCTTCTTCTGGCCTTCTTTCATCTCTTCTTGTTTGACGACTTTTTGCGATTTATCTCCAAATTTGGTGAAAAAAATTAGTCGCCAAAACCATCGCTAGCTTGGCGATATCTCATCAGTTTAACGAGATACCCATTTTCCGGCAAAACTTCGTTTTTTTCAAGTATTTCATGTTATATCCTACAAAAGATATTACAGTTTCACATATAATTTCACTGAAATTATTTACATATATACAAAATTCGTGACAATGCATTTCTCAAAAGACTAAATTAGTATTAATTTAATTCATTTGGTCACTAATTTAATTCAAGACACTTTCTATGTAATTTATACGTGTATGTGTGTGTATGTATGTATGTATTTATGTACGTATGTATGTGTGTGTGTATGTACGTATGTATGCCTAAATCTATATGCATATCTTCTAAATATATGTATGCTAATCTCAGTTTTTAGACGAAAGGCATTCTGAGAATGGTATTTCTAAGAAATATTGTTGCATTGCTCTGTACTCTCTTTGCTTTCTATGTAAATATAAAACCAGAGATTTACAGACTTATCCTTCTTTCAGGATAATTAAATCATTTCTTTTAATTTGCGTAAATACACTACAAAAAGTAGAACAGAGCTATTTTTATCCATCATTATTGATTAATTGCCACACTGCAAAAAGTAGTATAGAGCTCTTTTTATCCATCATTATTAATTAATTGCAGTAACACTGAAGATG